AATTGCTAGTGCTTGCATTTGCACATTGCAAGCTCAGGTATGGCACTAACCTCTGTTGTTTTAGCTGAGGTTGAGGAGGGAGGGTGTGTGGCTCCCTCAAAGACAACTGGCGGCAGTTAGCTCCATTACTATGGCTTCTTCATTATTCATTGTTTCATTGATTAGTTAATCTCTTTTAGGCAAAGGTAGAGTTTAACCATAAGACCCTTAATATTTGCAGAGCCATTCGTAAAAAGGTAACAATCAATCTCTCAACCTGCCAAACTTTAATTAATATTATAGAACACAGGTCAATATAAATATAAAGGAAGTAATGCAGGTATTATTGGACTGTACACTTTATTGTATAAAATGTATTTACATAATATCATTCATCATAAAGTATTGTGTTAATAGAGTATATTCAAGCTGAATCTAATCCTGTATCCATAATTAACTATCAAGGTAGAAACTTCTATTATAACAATGGTATTTTAGAGCCGTTAAACAATGAACTGCACCAAACTGGGATAGTAAGTGACTCAGTTTAATCATTGTTAGTAATTGTTCAATAGATGCTGTATAGCGCCGTGGTACTCCCTCCTCCTCCACAATACTCTCCTTCGGTTCCACAATATCTTCCTTCTCCTCCTCAAATTCCACCTGCTCTCCCTGTGCCACAATACAATAGCCCATGCTTCTTTCAATAACTCTATAATAATAATTAACAATGTCTCAATAATGATGAATTCTTTTTACCAACAATAACACACAGTGATAATGACAAGTTATTATGATTGTTAAAAGTTATTAATTTGGGTGTGGTTGCCTGTTAAGATGTCTCTTAGACCTGGTGTGGTGGATTTTGACGAGAAATGGAAAGACTTGAGTGCCACAATAAGTGCCGTGGTGGAGCTGAGGCCAGTAAAAAGACTAACCTGGAATAATAACATATCGTATCCTAATAATATACCGACAGTATACTAGTATTTGTTGATTCCTTATCTTATAACTAGTGATATCTATGCTTTGTGTGCTGCACTCCCTAAATCTTTTGCAGAGAAACTTTACGAATCAACTCGTTCACTTCTAGAGGACTCGGTCACTGCACTAGCTGAGGTACTGTGGGTGGGAGGGGCTGCCTGGGTGGGTGTGACTAATCATCATCACATTTTAGGAGATAATATTGTTGGATTCAAGATCATTATTTTGTCGATATCATTACAGCTGGTCCCTTTACCGCCAGGGAGCTCATTATTTGGACAGTTTATTTTCATATTTTAACAGAGTAAATAATAATAATAATAAATATTAATTAAATTGTTTCTTTTAGGTTCATCTCAATAAGTATAGACCTCAGGATTCTTTAGATTACAATGTTCCTGGAATTATTTTACCGCCAACTTCACCAGTTGATCCAAACGCACCAGTAGAAATTAGAAATGTAATGATAGTTATCGTTTATTTTATTTTATTTATTTATTATTTAGATGTCATTAAAAGTTTGGCGCACAAGAATGATTGACGTCATTGAGGAAAAATTAATATCAGCTGTAATCAATGAAGTGTAATGACAGCAACTAATTAATATTATTAATTAATTGATTAATATTTATCCCACACACACACAGTGTTAAAGAAGGCAATGAAAGGGATTTAGGGATGGCCCATGATGTCTTACAATCATTTAGTTAGTTCAAATATTATTTATTTATTTATTTATTTATTTATTTGTTGCTAAAGTTGAAGTTACGGAATATGATAAAGAGAGACCTTATGGGGTAAATTGTTGTTGTTGTTGTTTTTGACTTGTTGTTGTTTATTAGTATTATCAAAGAGTATTTGAAGACGTGTTTCTGTCAGAGATAAGTTCAATATATCGTAAACTAGCCTCACAGCTGGTAACTGACCTCTCCTATCCACAGTACATCAAAGAGGTCAGTAATTAGTGGGT